AATGATTTGAGACGGCATCCCAACAATACCTGATGAAGCTCTATGAGGCAGCCACCTGCAAACTGCTTTAGTGGAGAAATTAAGATTCCTCCTACCCTTCCTTGAAGACAGGACTGTTGTATTATCAGTACCCTACAGTCCAGGCAGCTTAGGGTCCAGGGAGGGAAGTCAGAGAAGCAAACGGGTAATCCGATAAAATGATGTGCTATGGTGACATAAGCATAGGCATGAAAGGGGACAAAGAAGAGGCTCTATCCAAACCTTGTGGGCGCTGGGAGGATTTCTGTCTGAAGGCAATTTCTACACTAAGTCCTGAAGAAGATGCAGGGATAGGAGCGGGATAGAGAATTGAGAGGAAGAAATAATTGGAAAGGCCCAGAGGTGAGCACACATATAGAGCTTAAAGTGGGGAAACGAGAAAAATTCCAGATGTATGTGGGGAGAAGTGGCAAGAAGTTAGTCTGGAGGGACCGTGGTCAGGGGGTTTATCTTGAGAGTCTAAAGAGGGTCTACAAAAGGTTCTAATAGCGGAGTGACCCCACCAGATTCGCTTTTTAGAAAGATCTTTAGGTCAACAGTGTCTGAAGTTCCAGGCACCAGAAACTAGGTCTAGAACTGCTTTTTTTGGAAGCCAATTTCTCCTGAGTACCTCACCCCTTCTCTCTGAGGAGTACTTAGAAGGAGAGAAGCAAGTCCCTAGGTCTTGCCACTCGAGGTAGGCAGAAGGTGGGCAAGCTGGAATAAATGTATGGCTATGTGTTGATCATGGGTATGTGAATGTTTAGTTTTTTAATTTTAGCTTGTGAGAGCAGTACTATAGGAAGCAGTTAACAGGATTTGCTCTAGGTTACCAACTGGTGAGCTTGGGAAAATTTTAACCTCTATTTCCTCATCTGAAAAATAAGACAATAATTATAAACTTTTACTGAGGACTTACATGCTTAGGGTTAGTACAAATATCAAACGAGATAATACATGTAAAGTGTTCTAAACAGTTCTACTTAGGAAGTAGATATTTCCCATTTTACAGATGACTCTGTGATCCATTTTACACATGATGAAACTGAGGCTCAGAAAGGTTAAGCAACTTTTCCAAGATCCTACAGTTAGTAAGTGATGGAGCCAGGACATGTGTTCACCCAATCTCTCCCTTAGTCAGAGAGTTCCTTCTGACCCATTCATTCAAGATGGAGGCAACAGAGCCAATTTTGCAGTGACTGAGACAAAAGGAGAGGGCTTTCAGCAGGCTGGAGGTCATTTTGGTCAGTTCTGGAAAAGTGTGGACTCTTGGATTCAAGTGACAGAATCCTAGTGCAGCTAGTTTAAGTAAAACACATAAACACTATACCATAGCATACAGCAATGCTCCATGGAACCCAAGGGCAAGAAGGCAGCCACCTCAGGGAAGGATTTGAAGGAAAGCACAGTCTCAAAACTCATCTTCCATTTCAGCTCCTCTCTATGCATCTGCTTCATTCTATATTTTCTCTCTGGAACCTGTTTTCTCCTTTTTTGTAGTGTGCATGATAGACTGTATAGCCATGCACATCTTGCAAGTTTATATGTAATCTATTCCTTTAGTCCCTCAGTTTTAATTTCAAATTCCCAAGGAACAGCCTTTGGCCTAACCTGGGTTAGATGCCCATTTCTGGAACAGTAGTGGGCCGCATTTCAGAAATACAGCTGCGGAGAGAACAGTTCTTTGGGTTGCACCCACTCCTCAGGGGAGAACCAGTTACCAAGGGGTAAGATAGATGACAACTCAACAGATGTGCATTAAAGGAAGGAAATCTCTTATTGTCAAAGTTGAGATTTTCTTCTGCCCTTCCCCATAGACGAATTTTGTTGATATATCTCATTTCCTCCTCCAGAAAGTATGGATCCTACCATTCCTCACATTCTGGGAATAAAATAATTTACTTTTTGGGATAGAAGGAAATTTAAGAGACCATCAGGTAGGTGCACCTATAAACCATCCTAACAGGTGATTTTTTTGTCCAATTTTTTAGGAACTTCAAGAAAAGCAAACCCCATAGTCACTAGCATTTCAGTTTTGTTTACCATGCCAAGAAATTCCTCTTCACAGCAAACGAATTCCTTCCGCTGCAATTTAAGTCCATTTCTTTTCTCAGACTTCATGGAGTGGTACACAGCTGATCAGAATTTGCTTTAAAAGGATTATCATGCATTTGAAAAATCCCCTCAGCATTCTCTTTACTAAACTGTAAAAATTACAGACCCTTTAATCCTTCCTAAATTATATCTAATAAATATAGTCCTGAGGTCAGTAAAATCATTTGTATAGAAAAACATGAATATTAATCACTGGCAGCTTTTCTCTACATCTTCTCTGTGTGTCTCATTATAGAGGATCAAACTGGACACCGTACTCTCCTAGTCAGAACGGATGATAAGTAAGGGGTTAGGGTGGAGATGGTGGGCGAAGGGATTCAAGAGGCTTTCACAGACTCCACTGCAAGAAGAGCAGCTGAGCCTCCTTGGATTTGGGAGGTTATCCGGCAGCTACTCTCTCCACCACTCTCTGGGGTCACCATGGTCTCTCTCACCTGGCTATTTGCTATACTCTCTTTGCTGGACAGATTCCTTAGACTAGTAGATTCCCCTGTTAATTAAGCTTACCTGTGGCTCAGGATCAACTTACTGCCTTCTCTTCCAGTGCCACCCAACGAACCGCTCATGTCCCACCCTCAGTCCAACCAGCTGTGGGTGGGAAGGCAGGTCCACCCAGAACTATGGAGAGACAAACGCGAAACAGTATTTTTCCTTCTTTCTTGTGTGTAATGCACAGGATTCCATGATAGTAGTTATTGCAAAAGCTTTCCTTATACATCTTCTCATGATCCTTTATGAATCATCTCATAACATTTCTAGAATGATTCCATTTCTTAGTCTTCATACCAAATTTTCATGATCATTTAATTCTAAATATTTCCAATGTTTTTTACTATAGTTATTTAAAAATATATTTTAGGGGGCAGCCCAGTGACATAGTTGTTGGGCTCAGTGTGCTCCAGAGCACTCTGCTTCAGTGGCCTGGGTTTGTGGGTTCAGATCCCAGGCGTGGACCTATACCACTCATCAGCCATGCTGTGGCAGTGACCCACATATAAAGTGGAAGAAGACTGGCACATATGTTAGTCCAGGGCTAATCTTCCTCAGGAAAAAAAATATATATATATATACATGTTTTAAAATATCCAAATTGTTGGGGCCAGCCCCATGGCGGAGTGGTTGAGTTCGTGTGCTCCACTTCGGTGGCCTAGGGTTTCACCAGTTTGGATCCTGGGCACAGACATGGCACTGGTCATCAAGCCATGCTAAGACAGCGTCCCACATGCCACAACTAGAAGGAACCACAGTTAAAAATATACAACTATGTACCGGGGGGGCTTTGGAGAGGAAAATAAAATTTTTTAAATATCTAAATTGTGTAGTAGGAACTCATTAAAAGTAAGTAGAATAAATTATTTACATTCATATATATGGAAAACTTGATTTCAAAATTACCTGAGGAAGTACAGAAGTGAATCTTCACTAATTACTAGTTTATTACATTTTAGTGGAATTAAATAACTCGTCAAAAGTTTTCTACTAGAAAAGCTGTGCACAGCTAGTTTTTATGGCTCTGCTCGTTATTCCTGTTTACTACTTGACCTTATTAATTTACTCCTCCCTCTTCTCAAGTTGCTCAGGCTGGCTCAATCCTACCAGACTGTAGCCACTGTGAAAGGCTTCAGCTCCCCTATGCTCCCATAATAAAGTTGTCTTGCTGTGGGAAAAGAGAGAAGGTAATATTTGGTGCTATTTGGGGGGTTGGGGGAGATTTTTCTCAAATAGCTCTTTTAGTATTTCATCATCTTTTTTTCAAGGATATTAAAACAATGTTCATAATTTATGGGCAACATCTGAATTTTTCAAAACCTATCTTCAAGTTCTCCTGAATAATACAAACACTTTTACCAACTGGATATGCTTATATACCTCACAAATTAAAAAATAATTGACTCTGATGACAACAGTCACACCTAAAATGCTAAAAGAAGAGCACAGCACAACTAGGCCCTGTCTCGACACACTCTTTGAACTGAACTAAAGGACCTGGCCACCAACTTCTACTGTGTTCTGAGACTAGTGCTTAGCAGAATTTTTGTTGGATCTAAATGCAAAATGGTACATACATGATTCTAACTGTGCAAAATATGTCTATATGCGACCTGGAAGGCAATAAATAGAAATGAAAATAGTTGTTTTAATTTTTTAAGATGTTTAATAAAAATATTTTCAGTAGAGCACTGTGAAAACCCCAAACTTCCTCAAAGTCTGAATGACTACTTAAATGAAAAGCTCTCCTTTATCATTATTGACATTGCTCAACAGGACCTAGAAGCCCTTCCAACTGAAAAGCATGCCAAATGGTTGCTTCTTCCCTCCTGTCGGAAGAAACATAAGGGAAAAATGAGAAGATCCTTTACTACCCTGGGAAGGTTAGGTAAAATGCTGAATCTTTCCAAAATGTTAACCAGACTCAAGGTGAGTCCTGAGGTTTGACTCCTAAAACACTGCTTGAAAACTTGGGAGCTATGGATCCACCCTAAAGAAGTTGTCCTGGACGCTTAGGACTTCCTGGCAAGAATGGGCAACAAGATTTGTTTTGCACAAAGTCACTACTCAGGTTTAATTTAGTAGACGTGAAAAAATTTAAAATACAAAACTTACATTTAACAGGAGACACAAGTAAACTGAATCTAAGCATGGCCCTAAAGAGCAAAACAATACTTTGTCTCCAAATGGGGAACAGCAGAAAGAACCCAAGTATGTGAAAAAAAGAAAAAGTTGGCACTGATCATGTGATTCTTAAGGATAGGAAATATTAGGACTGGGTTAAAATTATAACAGAATTTTAGATCTGAAAAGGAATTTACAGGTCTAATCCAAATCCCTCAATTTACACATGAGGAAACTTCAGGCTCATTTATTTATTCATTCAACAAACATTTATTGTGTGCCTACATGCTCAATGCTGGAAATACAACAATGAACAAGACAGAGTCCAAAGAAGGGAAAGTGACTTACCCAAAGTCACAAAGCAAGTTAGCAGCTAAACAGAGGCTCTCTGCACAGAACCCCATATTATCTAATAAAATACATCATTTCCGCACTTGTAAGCACACTAAGATTTGATGAAGGTTCTGTGCAAAGATAAGATTTTTCAAACGCAATTGATGTATTAACATTCTGTAATATAATAAGGGATATATATATCATATTCAGATGATGTTAGAATTTATGTAAAATAACCACAGTTTCTTATTAGCAAATGAAATGATAATTTCCTTGGAAGTGCTTTCTAATTTCTTAGTCATTAGGTATTTCGTGTGCAAATTTTGACAATTCAGATTTTGAAATTTTCAACAGGATTTCTGGTCATGCAACTATGACTGTTACTATATTCTGTCATCTTTGACTTACAACGTTCATTCAACTAGTGCTTCAATATTTTAGTTATTTGCAATAAAGTACTCTATTTTAAAAGATCTAGTTCTACCATTAAACCAGTTTATCCGCCTTAATCATTCATAGCTTCACCAGCTTTATAACTTTAGTGTATGTAATACAAACAGAGATATAGTTAATAAAATGTCCTGCATCAAAACATTTCTTTAAAAGAAAACTTATTTACCTCATTTCAAAATGCACAATGGCGCCTACTGCAAAAGGGAAAATCAAGAGTTTGGACCCAATCTTTTTTTTGTTGTTTTTTGCTGATTTAATAACCTTAAGAGAGCAATAAGGGAGTTCTTGAACACGGGAAAGATGGAAGTCCTCTACTAGAAGCAATACTGTAGCCTCAGAGTTCCTCTTTCATTAAAGCAACCCAAAAGAAAAGGTGTGAAATTTTTGTAGCTTACCGAAATAAAAAGTTTCTGAGATACTCCTGATTGGAAAGTAGTGATTTATATTCCAACAACTCTGAGAACCAATGATGAGAGAGATGAGGCGATTTAAAAGCCACCTGTGCTGTACTACCAACATTACAATATGGAGCTCTAAGGTTGATTTTCCATCCTTAGACTCTAGAAGGCTCTCCTACTGCTGCACTTCTTTCTCTGGCCATTCGCTCCCTGTTATTATTTGTGCTTCCTCCCTACATAATAAGCCTTACTGGGGACAGGCACTGGATATTACCCACTCCGTGTCCTACCTTGAATCACAGCACACAGCTGATACTCAGTAACTGTAAAATGAAACCACAGATGGTAACCAGAATTTAAAAATCGATAACATCTATTCTAACTCATACATCCATACTCTGAAACGAACTGTAATAATAAAAGTTAAAACTACAAAATGAATATGTGGTTCTACCTGAAATATCAGGGAATGTTAAATGGCAGGGCAGGGCTGAGAAGTCTGAAAGGTCTGGCTACACAAAAAACCATGGTGGATGCTGCTCTAAAAATAACAACCACTTCTTTCTAAACAAGAAAGGCCAATTTCAAGCCTCAGATAATGAAAAATAGAAGAAAACTGTCAGGAATAAAAGAAACATTAAGTGGAAAAAAATGACAAGATGATGTTATCTCTGGATTAAGACTTATTTTAATATACATAATGTATAGTACTTTATATAATTTATTAATGTCATTTTCTATAGGACACTGTAATTAATTCAGTGACATCAATATTGACCTCATACAAAGGATGAAAGCTGGGTTTTTGTGTGTACCAAGTACAAAACGTGCTGAAGAATTATCACACACAACAGTTATAAGAGATCAACTTTAAGGATGACTCAGGTTTACAGTAGTTACTTCACATGGTTTTCCCTCGAGACTTGGATGCCACCCAGTGTTGCTGTGTTTGTGCAAACGCATCTCCGGACCACCCCACTACCTCCTTTTGCCAGCCCCACTTTTGCCTGTTTTACTGCTGCCGCTGCTAGACTTGCCCGATGATTTTGAAGAGAAGAGTCTTGTCATAAATTCAGAAACGTCAGGCAGTTCGTGGTTGGAATTCAGCATATTCATTGACTGCTCCATCTCCTGCAGGAAGACACAGCACAGTGACATGACAGGCACTGCGATCCTCTGAGCCGCTGAACCACTCACACTTCCACCACGAAGGACAGGAGTAGAACAGTAAAAGGTGCTGGTTCTGAGCAACGGTGCAATGTCGTACCCGACAGCACTTCAGAAACCATGTTTCACACATCCTTTATACATGATACATTTTGATCCTTAGTAAATGTCCAATAAATTTTGTCTATGGTTTGATTTAGCTTATGTTTTCATAAAGGGCATTTTCTCTGATAATGGACATATGTGATCATATTCCTGCCATCTCATTTTCTGTTTTCTGATTAAAATGCTTTTTTATTGTTTAATGAGTATTTTTTTTTAAACTCATGCTTTCTTTAGATGCATATAACCAGAATATCAATCTTTAATTACATAGAAAGGTATCGGAAAAGTTTGGAAGATTAACAGCAGTATTTCCAAGACTTGATTCCTAAGGACCTTAGTAGTAAATCTATGAATACCGTATGGCTTGGGTGACCTCAATTACTCTTTCTAAAGCAAGCAACACAAATGTTACAAAACAAGTCACTGGCAGGACCAAATAAGGATCTAGCACTTTTATTTTGAGGCCTTGTCCTCCCTCCTTACTAAGCCAATAATCTACAAAGTATTGTTCTACTTCTGGCAATATTAATGGAATATTTGCTTCATTTGCATTTTGCCACATTCCAAAAGCGAACTGAAGATTGTATTAGTTCAGATACGAAAAAAACAGCAAATACTATATTATTCATCACTTAAAATTGAACACCATTTAGGTATTAGCTTGGGCTTTCTTCCAAAAGGTAGAATTTACACACGAGTTTTCAAGGAGAAAGTGCTTTTACAAAGAAGGCCAGGAAAAGCAGCACGGTAAACATAAATTTGTTAACATGCACTAATCATCAAGAATTAAATATACATGGTCCTGAGTCCCTGCAAAGATACATCAACTCCATCTTTGAATCTGTTCAATTCTGAAGCTCTTGAATGAACAACTTTTTACGCTGCTTACTATGTGCAAAGCACTTTGCAAGGAAGGAACTTTCAATCCAACGTGACTGCTAATGTTTCCTTCTACTGATGCCACAGAGTTAACCGGCTTAACAGACACAAGGATTCCACAGGATGTATTCTTTTTGACCCATGCTGAAGCAAAGATGTCAAAATTTAGCAATAAAACATTTTGAAACATCATAAAGCTGTCTTGTTTCATGAAGCTTTTTCTGCCATTCCAGCTTGGAATAAATACCTTACCTCCTACAGAACTTTATCACCTACTACCTCAGCAAATATTTTTATTTATTTTATGTATATCTTAATTTCCCATTTAAAATACACACACACACAAAACCCCCTGAGGCAAGAAGAGTGTTTTATAAATCCATTCTACTTTCTACATTTTACTGGACTATGAGCTTGCTGATGACAGGGATGACATATAATTCATTTTTGTATCCCCAGTATCTAGAACCTAGAAATTGATTAATAAACATTTATTCAGTGATGAATAAGGTGTCAATACATCAGTATATTAAATACAGCAGAAAAACTTCAAACTCATGAGATGTTTGTTGATGGTTTTTGGGTGGAAGAATAAATAATGTTTTTTAAAAAATTCTGAAGATTTTACATGGAAGCCAATATTTAAAAGAGACAAAGTGGTGGCATTAAACTTGAAGCATCTTACTTGATAGCCTCACTCCCCCTCGTTAAACCAGTATGGCTTTGTAATACAGTGTTTGAAAGCGACTATTCAATTTTTCTCCCTTGGTCTATCTGAATTTCTTTTGCGTGTCTGTAACACACAAACTAAATGTGTACTCTAAAGAGTTTTATAAAGTAAAGATAGATAATAAGAAGCTATCGTTTTGCAAAATATTTGGATTAGGTATACCAGGATTATTATGCATTTCAACCATTTAACAAGTAAGGCACAAAGAAGGTTAGTATCAGCAGAATGTTTTAGCTATATGAAGAGACCCAGGCTTCCATCAAGTAGAACCAACTCAATTTATCTGGTCCAATGGAAACAACTAATTAAATGCCAGGAACATAATACTGTGTTAACATAACTTCTAGATGAATTTGGCTTGAGAATTTGGATAAAGCTTAAAAAATCCAAACCATTCAGCCACAATGGATGGACCAGGCATCAGAATACAGTTCAAAAACCCAGAGCCTGGGCAATCATCTTACCCGTCTCATGTCAGGATCACTTGTGTTGACCACTTTGGGCAGAAGCACAAATATCAATAATGGAAGAACCATCATCATAACCTGTGGAAGCAAACAAATTCAGAAACTGTTTTTCCCACTTACCAGAACAAAATCGGCACTTAACAAGCAATGATAAAATTAAAGATTCAAATGTTGAATATAGAATAAAACTAGCAGCCACTACCTCAATTCTACTGAATCAGCCCTGTCAACAGCAAAGTGCTCCTCGATGCCTGACTGCTGTAGAGTACATAAGAGCCTTATCTATGAGCACTTGGACTTCACAGACACCTCACTTCACATTTGTGCCACCTAGCATTTTGCAGAGTTCAGTTTTATTTAACACAAATAGTTTGCAAACAGAACTACCTATTCACTTCTGTCAATCTGTAGTCTGGCACTGGGATTGGTGATCCTGATGGCCAGCTGGGCTCTCTTTACAGATGACTTTGTGGTTCTTGGAGAAAACGCTGTATTACCCCTCTAATTAATGTACATCCTCTAGAGCCTGCAATATAGTACTAGGCAACTACTACAGCAGATCAGTTTTGAAAAATGACCTAGAAGCTTCCAGCACTGGATATGTTCCCATGGAATTTCAGAAATGACAACATGGAAGATATTTCTCAATAAGTTTTAGAGTCTCATTGCTGATTTCTCCCATCCGCTCTACCCTTCTGCTTCTTTATGCCTGACAGCAGTTTCTAGGTAGTAATTTATTCCTCTCAAAGGATGTACAGCCCCCAAACATTTCTGTTTGTGATCTAAACAGCTATCAGCAAGGAATATGATCAACCCATAGACAATTCTAAGATAATTCAACTTCCAAAAACAGCAAAAAAAAAAGTCGATTTGTTTCTAAAGAATGTATTCTATGAGTGTTTTATTATTTGTGGATATCGTAACATCAGCTTCATGATAATACTAAGTACTGAAATTACCACAGAATAACTTCTCTGTTTACTTTACATGGGAAAAGGAGAAAAAAACCTTACTCATGCCATCAATAGGGGCTGGTTAATAAATGATGGCACATTCATCAATGGACTACTATGCAACCAGCTCTATGTGTGACTTACCATACACTCTTATTCTATTTGAATTTTAAAACATTTCATCATAAGTATTTGTCCAACTTCTGTCACATGTTTCCATGTCAAAACTACTAGGCAATTTTCACTATATTCTTCTCATTATGTATTCGCAAAGCTACTATTTTCCTGAGATCCACAGCTATTCACAATTATCCTTTCGTCCAACAATCTGATCTCAGCTTTCCTTCTCACAAGAGTTAGAAGTTTTCGACTGCCTGCAAGCAAGTTAAAAATTAGTAAAGATACTTTATTGTAGCCTGATACATACCATTGGGTTCATCAGAAAGTCTGTCCAGCCCCATGATTCCCTTTTAATAAAGTAAGAAGGTGGACCTGAAGATTTCATTTGGAGAGGATAGGGCAGTCTGACCACTTCTGATGTTTTGATATAATTCACATATCTTGCTCTGATAAAGCAACGTGAAAAAAGCATCAGCAATTCTACTGAAAACATCATGAGTTACAAGAACTGCTTATAATATATCAGCAAGCCCTTATAAGTACCTTTAGATTTTTCCAAAATGCTTTGGCATCTAAACCTTTGACCTTGAAAATCTGATCAAAGTAGATGTATCTGTATACCTAAAATACTTAGCAAAATTTAAAGAAAGAAGACTAAATTTGCAATCAAGAAACCTAGGTTCTAGCTGTAGTTCCGTAATTACCTAGGCCTGTGGGCTTAGACAAGTTCTTAACTTCTCTGGTTATACAAAAAGTTCTTTTAGAATCCTTCCAGCTCTAAAGCTCTTTGGTTATATTTAATAATAACTTTATTATAAATATACAAAAATGCTGGATTTAATTTTTTTGATTGTCTGAGATATGTTTTATTGGGTGCACCCAATTTTCAATGCTATTTTACAGGAAAAATTTATGATTTAATAAAGTCTCATAACAGCACCATAGGTAACACTGCATTTTCAGCAGAGATGCCACTAATTTTAATCAAAACTCTCACTCATGTTCAAACATATTCAAGTTTACTTTTTGAAAATTGCCTCCCCTATTTTCTCTAACATTTCCTTCTGGAACTTCTATTAGACATGTGCTAGACTTTTTCAATATTTACTCCGAATCTTGTAAAATTATCACTTTCATAGTGTCCATTCCTTTATCTGTATTGTATGCTGGGTAATTTTTTCTGATCTATCTCCCAGTTCATCAAACCTCTGTTCAGATGCTTAACACGTCCATTGAGTTTTTTATTCCAATGCTGATATTTATCGCAGAAGTTCTATTTTATTCTTTTTTCAAATATCTATGGTCTATTTTGGTAGTATCTTATTCTTATGGCAATTAGTCTTTCTTTTATTTCTTTAAGCATTTTAAATATAAAATAGTTTATAGTCTATATCCAATAATTCTACTATTTAAAGTTCTTGGAGGTCTGATTCATCTGCTGACCTTGTTTTCTTGGGTATTCTGAAGTAGACTTTATTTATGCGTGGGCCTGGACAGAGTTTCTCCTTCCAGAGAGGTTGCACATTTGTCTCTGCCAGAAGTCTGGGATTACGACCAGAGACCATCTTGTTAACTGTTCAGCTTGGAAGTTTCTGGATCATGCAGGACCATACCCCAAATTTCAGTGAGGGTAGGACTGTGACTATCAACTTCCAGGTGAGATTTTTCCCTCCAAAGGCCAGGGCCAGACTGGGAGTGTGGTCTTTTAGATTTTAGCATCAAGGGTCAAAGGGAGAATCAAGTCTTAGATCTAATTCCGACTCCAAGCAAGCCCAAGGCTTGCCTCCTATCTACACACTGCTAATAAAATCTAGTCCTTTTGGTTAGAGAATATCAAAACCCCCAGGTGGGAAAGTGGTTTATAGTTTATCCCCTGGGGATTTCCCTTACTTTTTTGGGAGCTATACATTTAAAAGGACATGCTTGTCAGATTTTATCCAGCATTTCTAAGATTTTCCATTCTGCCAAATATCAGAAATGAAAGTCCCACATATATTTGAGACTAACTTATGCACGCCTACAAAATATTGGTCAAGAATATTAGGACCTTATATGAATTCTACTTTGTTCTCTACTCTCTCCCACTGCCAATTATTAAAATGACAAGGGCCTTGTTTTTTTTAACCTATGCTTCAGGCATCCAGTCATCAGGAAGGGATCTGAGAATATGAATACCACAGCCGCAATCAGTCCTTAAACGCCAAAGCAGGAAGTACTCTTTACCCAAGATAAAAAGGCAAATAAAACTTTGTATTTAGAAAAATATTTCCATTTGCTTAGACGACTTTATTCAAAATTTAGAGTAAAAAGAATAAAAGTAACTTATAGTTTTTAATAGACAAGTAACTCCTTTTAATAACTCTCATTTCCTCCAGTATTCAGTGTTTTCAATATTTTTTTAAAACTTTTAAATCTGTATATAATGTATACTGTAATTCATATAACCCACCATCCCTAAGCTTGCAATTCTAAAATATGTAAAAAGTCATGATAAGTCCTTTAAGGTTTAGATGTAACATACTAGAATTTTACTTATTTATATTTTTAACAATCTTTATGCCTCTAAAAAGGCATGAGAAAGTCAGTACCTAAAGAGGTTCATGACTTTGAAACAATCCATTTATTCCACCAAAAAATATTTATACATATATTTGCAAGGAATTACCTTCAATTCAAGCTTCACCCTTGCTTTAAACAGGCAACAGCAAGAAATATGACTAGTATTTGAACAAAGTAGAATATTCTAAGGCAACAATTTAGCTTCAAAAGTAGGGGGAAAAGTAATTTGTTTCCAAAGAAGGTATTTTTAGTGGCATCGTGGTATCAGTTTCATGATAATATCAAGAATGTAAATTACCACAGAATAATTGTCTCTGTTCACTATATGTGCTAAAAGAGAAGAAAGAAAACCCTACCTGTCCACCAACAGGAGCTGGCATCAAGGGACTAATATGCAGCTGCCAGAAAGGATGAGACAGCTCTCGGTGTGACTCACTATCTGAATCACAGATACTTACAGTACACTTCAAAAACTTTTAATGTCGAAAAAAAGCAAAGAAAGAAGGAAAACATTTTAGGAGTAAACACTAACTCAAATGTGAACATCATGGTACTAACCAAACATCTCTCTATTATGTCACCTCAATTTGAGGTCTCTAGAGATCAACCTAAATATGCCTGGCACAGACTGAAAAGGTGAGCAATGAAATACAGCTCCTCCAACCCCAAATTATTTTTACCTTTGCACAACTCGTGCTTTATTACTACACATGGAGTAATTTTGGGATAGCTCAAACAAAGAAGACACACCACCACGTAAAACTGTTTCATGTTTTTCAATTATACCTCAATAAAGCTAGAAATAAATACATAAATAAAATTGCTTCATACACTTCCTAGTGAGATTAGACCAAAGAGTACTATTGGCATGAGACAACAAAAAAATAAGCAAATAAATAAATGGGGATTATAACAGAAGGCTGAATCTGAACACTGTGGACAGTTGTGTATACAACTGATGCCAACTTCAGATGCGTTTGTGGTATTCCACACTCAAAACCTGAATTAGTCCAAAATTATTTTCACCTCAACTTCAAAGCATATGTTCATCTACTTAGAAATTCTGAAATTTTTTCCTAGTCTGCCAGCCTCTGACACTGTGCTTTCTTTTTCTTATCGTAATCCTCACTTTGAGATAAACTCCACAATGCAATCAATCTACTGTTTTCTGAAGAAATACCAAATTTCTACTGCACACAAATATTCCAGAAAAGAACTATAGAAATGTTTAGATCAACATACTATCAGATAGGCACTAAGAGGTATTATTAAAATATCTCACTGAAAAACAGTGATGAATAGTATTTTCAATGTATATAGTTAATTTCCCACTTAATATGTATAAAGTTAATTTCCCACTTTAATAATCACGTTTCAACTATAACTTTCACAGCGCTTTTGCTCCCATAGTAAGTGATCTTACCTCTTCTCTATATAATCAATGTTAGGAGCTTTAAAATAAATTTGAAGCCAAAGCAGGAGGAAGTTCAACTTTATAATATTATCAATGCTCAAATTAAAACATCATAAGGATGTTTTAAATGCTTTAAGGAACACTTGTCGTTTAAATAAGAAACTTTTCAACCTCAACTATAAATTCTAAAAGGAATATATAATGAAGTATTCAGTAGCCTAGCATTCAGTAAAAATTAAATCCAGTGCCCTCACCTCATTTTTCCTTTTGAAGTGATATCTACTCGGACGGGATCAAACCTGTAAGCTGGAGATATAACTTCCACTACATAGGATCCTGAAGGTATATCATGAACCACAAAACTCCCATCTGTCCTGGAAAAATGAAAATCATCTTTAGTCACTTCTTAGCAATAGCTTATTCTTTTCTCAGGTTTTAAATCATCTGTTAACTCCCAAATCAACTCCTTCAAGATGACATTCAGAGCAATTAGCAAAAAACTGGCAAGAGGTGTTCCACACTTCAGCTTCCATAATTACACTAAACGGGTTCTGAAAATGCCCTAGACCACTCCACAGTAGCAGAGAACTCTGACGCTGAAAGTCCTTCTATTCCTTCGGTGGGGCAGAGATAACAGGTGACAGGAACATGTTCCTATTCTGAGGCCATGTCCTCACTCAAGAGAAGCTATCATATACATTATTACTACAATATTAGGGTTCCAATTTTGCTGATCTCCTCCAACAATGTCTTAAGTAAAAATGGTTTTTCTAGTTTTAATTTGCATTTTGTTGTTTTTCTTTTTTACAAAAGTGTATTTAAGTAGTGTTTGTTCCACTTGTTACAAATAGTTCCCATCCACTTTGGTTAGTTCTTTTTGGATGTGCACAAGTTTAAAATGCTTACATAGTTAAAACCACCCACCTTTTCCTTACTGATTTATTCTAAACCTTCTAGACTTAGAAAACCATCCCATCAAGAGCTGATAACTTCATGTTCATAACTCAAAGTTAATTTGCTTTGATAATGAAAAACTGCCATTCTGAGAAGTTTCTGTTTCAGGAAAACAAATGGTTCTAAAAGGATCAACTTTATCAGAGAATTCCCAATATCATAATAATACACTAAAATACTGCTTCTTAAATCATTAGGCTCTTTCAAGGTTAAAGGAATCATTGGTTCTGCCACATCCACAATATTTACTAAGAAGAGGAAAAAGTGTTCCTTTAAAGTACACAGTAAACTAAAACAGAATTGAAATATAAACATCAGGTTAACTTATTCCTGAGCTGGATGCCTTCCATTTGCCCTTCAGATCCACTCTCCACCCTCTTGCTCTCTACAGGCTGGAGGAGGGAAGAAAATGAGCTTAGTGTATTTTCCCCCAGCTCTCTCCAGGAGAAACCATCTCTGACTGGCTGTGTCAAGACACACAATTCTCAAAGTGGTCTTTTCTTCCCTTCTAGGTTCTCGTAGCTTTTACTTCCTGACTTCCCTTCAGGCTTAGAGGTGATAACAGCCTTGAGGTTGTAAACTACAGGGTACTGCACAATCTGGTTGTTTCCCTACACCATGACTACACTGTTTAATCCCTTCATTAAGTTATCCTTGAATTATTCTAATTTGAGCATATCTTCTGCTTCTTGATGGGACCCTAACTGAATGAATTTCAAAACGTTTTTCTAGATCCAGAAAAAAAGAGAAGCAAACTAATAACTATGCAACACAAATAGTAGCAGAACTAACTGCCTAAAGAAAAAGAAAATAGGGACAGCCCCAGCAGCCTAGTGGTTAAGTTCCACGCACTCTACTTCAGCAGCCCAGGCCCGGTTCCTGGGCACGGACCTATACCACTCTCTGTCAGTGGCCATGCTATGGTGGTGGCTCACATATAAAAAGAGAAGATTGGCAGCAGATGTGAGCTCTGGGTGAATCTTAGTGAAAAAAAAGAAAGAAAGAAAGAAAGAAAAAGCAAATATATTTTTGATCCTAAGGTAAATAGTTTACTTTAGAAAGAGAACATATAAATTTTATAATGAAATTTTAAAACTTGGCTTTAAAAAAGTACTCTACAATATGGAGGCCTTGTTGGATCCTGATTTGAAAGAAGAACTACATAAAAGCATTTTTGAGATAAATGAGGAAACATAAAAATGTACTGAGTATTAGATGATGTTATTTGGGCATTATTATTATTTATTTTACTGAATCAATAACGATATTGTTATTTTTTAAGCCCTTATCTTTCAGAAATACACAATGCTTTTACAAGTGGAACTATATTATGTTTAGGATCACATTTAAACATTCCATAAAAAAATATGAGGTGCACAGAAAATATGAAATGAAACCGTAGACTGTGATGGGTATCTAAGGATTCACTAAGCTATTCTGTTCATTTTAGTCTATGTCTGTAATTTTCCATAATAAAAAGTTCAGAAAAAGTAAGGTGCATAATCTTACTACGACAAAAAATTGAAAACTATCTAAATGCCCCAAAACAGAGGACTGGTTAAATAAATTATGGTTTATACACACAGTGATGAGAGCAAGAAGAGTCTTGGGGAGTCCTCAGTTGAAACTCTCCTCATCCCCATTAGCCAAGTCCCAAGCCACCTCCAATAAGAACACCTATAAGTCAAAATTGCATGCTAGGTATGCATCACAGGCACAAATCACCTAGCCCTCTTCCAACAAGTTTACCACCATAAGATCCTATTAATTCTTTTTTTGGGGGGGGGCAAGGAAGATTGTCCCTGAGCTAACATCTGTGTCAATCTTCCTCTATTTTATATGTAGGATGATGCCACAACATGGCTTGATGAGCAGTGTCTAGGTCCATGCCCAGGATCTGAACTCGCAAATCCTGCTGAAGCAGAGCATGCGAACTCAACCACTACACCACTAGGCAGGCCCCCACATTAATTCTTAATCGACCTTCCCACATAAAAATGGAAGAACATGAAACCGTATCAGAAGCTGCTCACAAAGTATTGAGTGAAAAAAACCAGGTTACAAAATACTATGTGCTGTATTTTATTATTAAAAACATAGGTCATATGATTCCAAAAAGATACAATAAAATGGTAAGGGTTGTCATCTCTACTTTCTTGTTTATATTTTATTCAATAAACATACTACTTATATATTATTTTAAAATAAAGATGCTTCTTAAAAGAATTATATACTACAGAAAAGAGAGGCCAAATGGTCAATTAAGGCTAATTTTCCAAAGATTAACATCATTATTTAGGGTAAACCTTAAAGAAACATCATTCATTAGGGTAAACCCTAAAGAAAGCCCTAATGCCAGATTTTTAATGACAAATGGCATTAAAATACCAGTTGTCAGCTTCTTGTCATTATTTATTAATCTGAGGTTGAATTCTCATTCAACAGCACCTGGATAATCTGAATTTCAGCAAAGGAGATTTAGAAGTAAATGTCCACATTTAACTTGTCTGGTTTTCAGACACCACTTGCTGGTGTACAAATCCATCAGAGAAACACTTTCTTTCCGAAATATTTTCTTCCAGTTCGTAGTTTCGGTTTCCAAGCAGCGACAGAAAGATTTACAACATCGTACTTGTGCCTAGACATCTGAAAATCAGGCTGCTACCAATCTAGAGTGCTAATAAATTCACCACGTCTTTTAATACAGGCTGAAATCCCATTTCTCCTAATAGCTAGAAAGGGCAGTAGCGTGTAAGCAACGTGGAGAAACCCTAGTCTCACATAAAATGGCAAGTGTGATGCTACAAATCCCTCGATGAATTCAACTGTAAAAAAGAACAACAATCCCACCTCCAGGCAAAAAAGGTGCCTTGATTAGGGACTTCAGGGCCCATTAATTTTAGAAGCAGCAACATTAGCCTCCTAGTCTCTGTCATCACTAGAAGCCCTTTGGGCTTTGAGAATTCCCAATTGCTTAGCAACTTTCTACACAACATCAAGCTACCAAGACTGAAATGAACGCAAAAAGCGGGCAGATTTCAGGGTAACCAGATGAGATGCAAAGTTAAGAATTCAGCAACAGACAAATGGTCCACTTGTCCCCAGGGCCCAGGAGTGGTCGTCCCCAGATACGGCAGAAATGGAGTTGAAGTTAACCGACCCCACTGCTCCATCCCCGGGGCGAGCACCTGCCATCCTCATTTCTGAGGTACGGGACCGGGAAGGGGAAAGTGTCCGACTGGCTCTCCAGGTCTCCCTGTACAGACCGCTGGCAGCGCCCGCCCCTCTACCCTCCGACAGCGACGTCGTGAGGTTTTGACACTTAGCTCTCCTAACGGGAATTCCCCTCCGGCTTCCATCCCAACCGCTTTCCCGCTGCGCTGAGGATGCTCACTTAAGGAAGCCGACGTGCTCTTCTCCGTCTACCAGCACTCGGGCCGCCGAGATCCAGTCCTGGGGCTTCACCCCTGGAACAACTGCCCGCCCTTCAATCTTGAAGCGATCTCCTATGCCGACCCCACTCCCTCCCGAGCCCTCGGCGGTAGCCCCAGGCACTTCCGAGCTCTGGACATCCCCTGATAGCAGCAGCAGCAGGACGAAAAAGAAACCCCACGGAGCAGCCGCCATGACAGCAGCTCTCAGAGGTCAGGCCGGCAGCCCCGGAAACCCGCCCAGTCTCCCAGCCGCCGCTGCCGCCGCCGGCCGATGTCGTCATCGCTGAGCGCCGGGTTCTGGCGAGCGCTGTGGGTCAAACTGGAGTGAAGAAGGCGTTGGCCAATCAGCTTGCGAGGCGAAAGTGAGGCGGAAGTCCGGCAGCGAAATCCAGGCGATGGGGGTGCAAGGCGGCCTCGGGAGTGTGTCAGGTGCCGCCCACATTGACAGTGTTTAAGTTAGTGTTGCTGTGGCAGCCGCCAAGGCCGGGACCCCACGGGAGTAGAAGATGATAAGACTGAGAGGAACAAGGATCTGAAGTAGCGTCTGCAAATAAGGCTCCGCTTCGGGAGAAACAGGTCCGGAAGAGAGCGTTTAAAAACTTCTGGGGGCCGGCCCGGGCCGAGTGGTTAAGCTCCCGCGCTCCGATTCCGAGGCCCAGGGTTTCGCCGGTTCGGATCCTGGGCGCGGACGTGGCACCGCTCATCAGGCCACGGTGGGGCAGCATCCCACATGCCACAACTAGAAGGACCCACAACTAAAAAATATACAACTATGTACTGGGGGAGGGGGGTTGGGGGGAGAAAAAGCAGAAAGAAAAAAAGAAGATTGGCAACAGTTGTTAGCTCAGGTGCCAATCTTAAAAAAAAAAGAAAACTTCTGGAGAATCTCTGTCTAGGAGTGAAATGGAATGAAAGGGCTCTCCTTTGTGTGTTTAAAGGAGATAATGCCTCTGGATAGAAAATAGCTGGGAAAATACGTAAACTGTTTACTAAGGGTTGCCTCTGGTAGAAGGGGAAAGAGTTGGGGGACATTTATCTGACACACACCATTCGTCCTGTTTTGAATGTCTTACCGTGAGCATAATCACCACGTTAGGGGATAAAACCTGGCAGTCTTGATCATGGGGGCTAAGCCAAGATTTCAGAGATCGTCTGCCCCAATTCTTCCATTTTCTTGATGATAGAAAGGGGAGTGACCTGCCCAAGATTTCTGTTGGCCTTAAGCATTGCCTTCTACGAATCCCTGTTGAAGATTATTGAGGGAAATGCATGTTTTTGCCCTGTGCACTCTTAGAGTTAGCCTCGCAGGGAAGAGTAACAAAAACTGGACAAAGAGATCCAAGAGCCACGTACTCGAAGCCCCTGGCTGGGAGGTAGGGTTGCAGCGCCAGGGGCCACCCCCATACTCTATTCTCTTGAGGGTCAGCAACTGCCGTTTAGGGGTAACTTTCCCTAAGTCTTCTAAAGACAAGCCATTTCTTCACATTTGATCTTTGGAAGAAGCAGCGCTGCTGTAAAAAGATTTTCATGTGCTACAACCCTCTCCACCAACAATAACCATTAAAACTATGCTAAACTATGAAAGTTTCACTTTTCTTTTTTCCCTTTTTTCCTTTTTTTTTTTTTTTTTCTGCTGAGGAAGATTGCCCTGACATCTGCTGCCAACCTTCCTGTTTTTTTTGGATGTGAGCTGCCACCACAGCATGGCCACTGACAGATGAGTGGTGTAGTGGGAACCAAACCCCGGTTGCCGAAGTGAAGCATACCAGACTTAACCACTAGGCCACTCAGGGTGGCCCCCACATTTCTAAAATGGTACAAAAGTTACAAATACACTGAATGAAAATGCCTTCTTCCCAAATTTTTCTGATGATCTTTCACATATTTTTGGTGACCCTGCTTCCCTGTTGTCTTAGACACGTGTTCAATGAGTAATAGGTAATCAGCGCTGGTCTTCATACTCCAGGTAGGAGCTGGGATGTTTGCTTTGTATGTGGGGCAAGGGGTGGAAGAGGCCCAGCAGCAAACAGCAAATGAGCTCTCTGTAGCGTTCTCTGTAGCCCCATTTCTGCCTTTCTCTTTCTACTTCTACCTTATTGTCACTCCAGTACCAAAGTATCCAATGACTTGAACCCCTCAAATGTAAGGCTGCTATTGCACAGGCCTTGCATGGAGGAGAGGAGCTGAAGTTGTGTTTTCAGGGAGTGTGAAATTCTGTTATCTCTGGTTTTCCAGGTAGATCACAGGAATTGCGTAGATATTCAACTCCAAATTGTACGAGTTATTCCATAATGTAGCCCTTGGACGTATGCCTTATAAAAGAAACTATAATTGTGATGAAATATTTGGGAAAGATTTTTGATTGGACTTGCTCTGCTTGCCCAGCCAGTTCTACTTTCTACCTTTCACTCTGCTTCGTGCCCTGGAAGGCTGGACCTTGAAGGATTGCAGAAACTTTAATGAAGTCATAATTTACAATCACCCCTTCAAGTCGTCCATTTATTTCCTGCCAGGACCCTGACCCACATAGATTTCAAGCAGACCTACTTAGTTTAATTATGGAAAATAGTGTTAAAGTGAGAGGTGATCAGTTTATTATCCAGGCCCTTTACTTTTCTCTTTCTTTTTTGCTGCCTGACTCTTGGCTTCTTCATATTATGGCCACAAGGGGGTGAACAAGGATAAGGACAGAGACAACACTCAAAAACCACACTTACAGAATTTTTATAAATGTTGGATTATACCGACAGAGGTTAACTGAGCTTTCCAGGTAATATTTATTTTCTTCTTTTAAAAAGTGTTCTTTATGTTTCTGATTTTTTGTAATATTTTTATAATTGTAAATATTTTAATATAATAAATATTTTTATAACTATAAAAATAAAAAGCTACTTTTCAAACTAAAGATACAGGCTAAAATTGCTAACAATATAAAATAAAATTTAATTTGGACTCAAGATTTGAATCAACCAAAAAGCATTGCCATCTCTACCTAGAGCTTTCATTATCATTTTAAGTGTCATGTTTGGTGGTGATCTTGGTCTTTTTTTCCCCTCTGTCTCAGTATTCTGCTTGTCAGCATCTCTTAGTATCAATAGGTTTGTTTTTTAAAAATAGAGTAATACTAGCAGAATGCTTGGGAAACTTCAGCTGTGTTCATCCCCCGTATACCCTGCTATTTAAGTGATTTTTGCCCTTTGAGTTTTCAAACCTCGTTTACTTCACGTAGATTAGCTAATCTTTTTCATTCAAGTAAACTGGAGCCAATTCTCTTAATATTTAAAAATGCCTATCATCTGCTAGGACCCCAGGTTTGGCTTTCTGAAGCTTCCTATCGAAGTCCTCTGAAACAGGATGTGTCATCCACCTTTCTCAGAGGTGGTCAAGTGGCATCCTAACTTGCCTTAGAGTCCTGCAAAAATAAATTACAAGGAAAGATTTCACTTTCTTCATTTTACTCTAAGTTCTCATCCCTTCCACCAAATTCTGTAGAAAACATAAGTAAAATAAATTGGGGAAGTGTGAGGACATACTAAACAACTTATAAACACGAGGAGGAAATAATCATCTTTGGTAGTAAGAAAAGAGGCAAAATTCTAAACATCCTGGGATATTCAAGCAAAAGTGCTTAGTAAATACTAAAATATAAATATTGTTAGTTACTGTATTTGAGCAATAATGAGTAAGAAGCCAAAGTGTTAGACTATGGGAGTTATGTGACACTAAGTACCCTCTGTGCTTTTGGGCTCTTCTGGCCTGGTGGACCCAGCTTCTCTCCGGCCTGTGGCTGCAGTTTAGCAATGTTCAGTGCACCACCAGGACTAGGTTACAGGGGCGGCTCCAAGACCCATCAGAGAACCTGAGAAGCACAGGAGTTCAACGCCAGCTCCATACAATTCATCCCTACGCCCTCCTTGTTCCTTCCCTGTGTTGTCTGCCTCACATGCCAGCCTTTCTAACACGTTAGCCCTCTATTGACATCTGTGCAGAATAAGTGTAAAAGCTGGATCTTCTTCATGCCTTGATTTGAGTTTTACCTTTTTTAAAATTGTGGTAAAATACAAATAAAATTTACCATCGTACCCATTTTTAAGTGTACACTTAAGTAGTATTAAGTACATTCACATTGTTGTGCAACCAGGGTCCAGAATTTTTTCATCTTGCAAAACTGAAGCTCTTTGAACAACTCCCCAACTCCTCCTACCCCCAGCCCCTGGGAACCACTATTCTCTCTTCAGTTTCTATAAATTTGACCACTCTAGATAGTTCATATAAGTGGAATCATACAGTATGTGTCTTTTTGTGACTGGCTTATTTTATTTAGTATAATGTCCTCAAAGTTCCATCCCTGTTGTAGCATGTGTCACGATTTTCTTCCTTTTTAAGACTGAGTCATAGTCCATTCTATGTGTATACTACATTTTTTTTTTAAGGTTTTAATTTTCCTTTTTCTCCCCAAAGCCTCCTGGTACGTAGTTGTATATATTTTTTTTTTAGTTGTGGGTCCCTCTAGTTGTAGCATGTGGGATGCCGCCTCAGCCTGGGGTGCCATGTCCAAGCCCAGGATCCGAACTGGAGAAACCCTGGGCCGCGGAAACGCAGCGCCCGAACTTAACCACTCAGCCACAGGGCCGGACCCAACTACGTTTTTTTAAATCCATCCATCATTGGACATTTGGGTTGCTTCCACCTTTTGGCTATTGTGGATAGTGCTGCTATGAACACGTGTGTACGAATATCTGTTCAAGTCCCTGCTTTCACTTCTTTTGAGTATATACCCAGAAGTGAGATTGCTGGACCATATGGTAATTCTGTTTAATTTTTTGAGCGCTCGCCGTACTGTTTTCCACAGCAGCTGCACTATTTTGCATTCTCACTAGCAATGCACAAGGGTTCCAGTTTCTCTACATCCTTGTCAACACTTGTTATTTTCTGTTTTATTGTTGTTATTGTTGTTGTTTTACATAGTCATCCTAATGGGTGAGAAGCAATATCTCATTGTGGTTTTGATTTGTATTTCCCTAATGACTAATGCTATGGCCTGAATGTTTGTGTCCCCTCAAAATTCATATGTTGAAATCCTAACTCTCAAAGGTGATGGTATTAGGAGGTGGGGCCTTTGGGAGATGATTAGGTCATGACGGTAGAGCCATCATGAATGGGATCAGTCTACTTATACAAGAGACCCCACAGACATCTCTAGCCCCTCCTACCATGTGAGGACACACGAGAAGACAGCCATCTATGAACCAGGAAGCAGGTC